TCCATGCTCCTGCCCAGCCCAGCCTCTACAGAAAGATATGTTTCAAACCACTGGGCTCGGGCTGGACATGGGGCTTCCCCACCAGAGAGGATGCGGTTCCCCTCTGTAAGTGGCTCCAGCTCCTGGAAAAGCAGCCACAGACGAGTGCTCAGAAGCAAACAGAGCAGTCCCTGCAGAGCCCGAGATGCACAGGGCAGAGCGCCAGCCTCTCGAGGCGGCACAGGGAGGCAGCAGCCCTGGGCGGCGGCCGGGGGTGCTCAGGACTCCGGCCCACTGTGCACATGCTGCCGGACAAGATCGGTTTCTTCTCTTACCCCAGCTGTAGGGCTATTCTGCCTTGTTGTCTACTCCTCCCACAGGGCTGGAAACCATGTCCATTGCAGCCATAAAGGGCTCTTCCACAGAAAGGCATGGGGACCCTTGGACCAATCCTTCTGCTCTCGCACCTCAGCCCGCTGCCCTGCTGCCCCTCTCTGGGGAATGGATCCAGCGCAGCCCTCCCACTGCTGGATGGAGGGTCAAGGCAAGGTCCCCTGGTCCCAGCAGCAAGCAGCTGACCGTGCAGACAGAAGCGTGAGGGACAAGGTGAGGAGGAGAGCGGGAAGAAGAGGGCCAGGGGAAGAGATGAGGGGGCAGCAGGGGAGAGGGGAGAGGGCTTCTAGAAGGGGAGCGGAGGAGGAGGAGGAAGCAGCAGAAAAGAGAGGGCATGTGCCAATGGAGAAGAATCCAGAAAGGAGAGGGGTCTGACATTACAGTGCTCCTTCTTTGTGGGCACAAGGTCACAACTCGGCTCTCACTTGGGTGTAGAGCCTTGTGGGAGACGTCCAAGTCTGGGGCATTGTTCATGGGAAAGTGGAATTAAAAGATTAAGCTTATTGGAGCGCAGAAGCTTTGAAATCATTTTTTCATGAACTTTCTGAACATCCCTCATATGCATGGCCTTCAAACATATTTGTACCTAAATAAGCACATCTTCTAGTGCCAGCTTCCACAGACTTGCTCATCTGAGATGTAGCTGTCATTCCCAAAAGGCCTGTGACAGGGTCTGGAGGGCTGACACAAGCATAGCACGCCCAAGTCCGCTGTGACGCAGAGGAGATGCTTCTGCTGGAGTGCAAGGGACAGTGGTGGTTCTGACTTCGTCACTTGGGGCTGGGTGAGCCTGCACCTACAATGGCCTGCCCTTGGCCTCAGTTTCCCTTCCATAAAACAGAGGTAATACAGCACGCCCTGCAGACCTTACCTGGCCACCGGGACACTCAAAGGAGGCGCAGTGGGTGAACACACACTGTGAATTCTAGAACCTGGCAGAAATGCAGGGAACAGCAAGCAAGCGAGGGCTAACCACTCAGAAGGGTTTGGAGGGAGGAGCAGAGCCTAGGGAAGTCCCAGGGGACAGGCCTGAGGGTCGGGCTGGGCAAGATGAGCGTCAGAAGGAACAAGGAGGAGGAGAGGGCAGTCAAGGGGGGGGACATATAGCAAGAAAAAAAAAAAAAAAACAAAACATGGAAGCAAGAAAGGCTGATTTGGTTTTGGACAATCAAAGAATCCTCTCTGTTGTTCCTTTGCTCGCTCTCTCTCCCCTTGCCCCAGCCCTGGCCTTTGTATGTGACTCCTCTGCCTAAAAGCAGGCTCCATCCCCCCCTCCTGTTGGATGTACTTTCTCCAGCAGTGCAGGTCTTGCTTGGATGCCACTTCTGCATTCCAGCTTTTCCTGGTTCCCAAGCATGGTGCTCCCAGATGCCTTATGTCAGTGCTTTCCAAATATTGTCACTCTGACTCAAAACCAGACATACACACACACACACACAATCAATACATCAAATGGAAACACAAGTTTTGAAGAAAGAACATTTTCCCTTATTATAAATGCGATGCATTCTGTGGTATTTCTATTCTGCTCTACTTAATGTTTTTAAATGCTGGTCGTGACCCACTAAGTTAATTTCATGACCCACTAATGGGCTGCTAACCTGCTGTTTGACAACACTGCCTTCTGCTTACCCCAGTTGTCGCACTCCCGACGCTGGGGCTCCAGGCATGTGTCTGCCTGGTACACAGGCCAGCAGACTCCCCCTCCCCCACCTGGAACTCTCCCCAAGCTCCACCCCCAGCACCATGCCTGGTGGCCAGCAGGTGCTCGGACAGAAGAGTACAGCAACCACTGAGTGGCGGGTGTCCGGCTGGAGCCGAGAGTATGAAATAAGAGTGGGATAGCCGGAGAAGGGCCTTGCGAAACAGGCAGGTGCAGTGGGTTTAATGAGAGCATGTGAGGGCCGGGGCAGCATCCCGGGTAGCAGAGGAGAAAGACCTGGCCCTGGGCACTGGCTGCAGTAGCCAAGAGGAAAGGCCCTTCCTGGAGGCCATTAGAAGGGAGAGGTGATCTGACTTTAGAGCAGAGGGCTCCAGAGGGCAGAGAATGAGTGGCCAAGAGGAGCCCGCATCTCTGGCCTGGAGGCAGAATGTCCTCTGTGACAGACAGCCTGTGTCTGCCCACCCAGTACAGCTTGGTAAAGACCCACAGTGACAACTGCCCACATGGCCAGCGCAAAGGGGAGGTGAGGGAGATGCTGATGGCTGGACAGAAACGTGCCCCAGGTCACCCTTAGTACTAAACACGAGAGAACCCAGAACATCTGATTCCTACCTTTTTTTTTTTTCTGATTGATTGATTGATTTGAAAGGCAGAGTTACAGAGAGACGGGGGGGGGGGGTGCGGAGCAGGAGACCCTCACCCCAAACCATTTCCTAATCAGATAAAGGAAATAACGCCGATATCCACAACATTTGCTTGAGCACTTGACTCTATTCTGGGCATTATCCTACACACTTTCTCTGAATGGTCTCACTGGATCAGGTGCCTGTCATGACCTTTCTACCCAGGCAAAGAAAGCAAGGCACAGAGAGGTTAAACAACCTACTCAACATCGCACAGCCAGTATGACTACTTCTTAGACTTCTGTCATTTCACTTTCATGTTTCAGTTGAGGGTTTGTATCACTAACCATAGCACTCTCCAGGGAGGCGCGAGGCCCCCGTGCAGGATCACAGCTGCCCACCCACTGCCACCCATCGGTGAGCTTGGACAGAGCCAAGAAAAGGTGGTCGAAGACAGGGAGAGGGAGAAAGACTGGTGAGCAGGCATCCCTCGCACACAGAGGATCTGCTTCCGTGGATTCAGCCACCCGAAGAATATCAGGGAAAGACTGCATCTCTACTGAACATGCAGACTTTTTCCTTGTCATTACTCCCTAACATGCAGGGTAACAGCTGTTTGCATTGGCAAACACATTGTATTATGAGATGACTTAAAGGATCTGGGAGGGTGCATGTGGCCTGTGTGCAAATACTACGTACGCCATTCAACCTGAGAGACTTGAGCATCTGCAGATTTGGGTACTTGAAGGGGGTCTGCACCATCCCCCCCCCCGGATCCGGAGGAAGACTACTGCACTGTGAGTCGAACTCTTTGCAGCTCAGGCTGAGAACGAGCCGCCTTCAGGAAGCCCCCCAACCCCGAGTTGTATGTGGGTCCCCGCATTGAAAGGCAGATACCAGTCTGATTCTGGCCCGAAATATTTAACAGGGAAGGGACGTACGTGCTCACAGGTGGCTGGGATGACAGGGCACACACATGCGGCCTCCCCGGGTAAGCTTGGTTTCTCGGGCAAAGATCTGCTTCCTGTGAACCCGAGTTGAACTTCGCACGGCAGCCAGCACGCCTACCAGGCTGCCTGACAGGTGGCGGTCCCCAGAAGGAAGTTTAGAGTCTGCTCAACGCTAGGGACTGCCAACAGAGTGGGGAGCCTGCCCTAGGCAGAGGGCGTCAGGCACCCAGGCCACTGCAGGGGCTTCCTGGTGAAGGAATTCCAGGAGAGGGGAGGGCTCAGCTCTGCCCCTCTGCCAGGCCCAGAGAGCTCCGCAGCACACTAAAGACACCGTCACTGGAGTGACAACTTCCACATCCTGCTCTCCTCTCTGCCCCCTCCCCCACTGCTGCAGGGAGTCCAGGGTGAGCAAACCAGGAGAGGAGGAGGGCCTCATCCAGGGTGTGCTCTCCCTCCCCAGCCCTGAGCACAGTGGGGCTGACCCCTGACTGTGGCCCCCATGAACAGGCCCCCGCCCTGCAAGCCTGGGAGGAAGTGCTTCCTCTGCTCTGCCCGACAGCAGCCCTTGGGGGATCCATCTCTTCTTGTCTCCCCTCTCCTGGCTCCAGCAATTTCTCCTTCCCCTCGCACCTGCAGGCCTGGCATGCTCTCAGCTCTGACTGTGTTCACACCTGCGTGGGCAGTCCTTGAGTGGATCTCTCCTCACTGTCCAGGTTTTGTGGGTCATTTGCTTCCTGGGGGGACCCTGATGGACACAGAAGGGGAAGAGAAGAGGAACCGAGGGCGCTCCCCCTCTCCCCGTGTCCCTGCCCCCTCTGTCTGCATCAGCAGAGCCAGGGACAGAAAGTGGAGCTCAGAGCTGTGATTATCGATCTGGATGTCCGGAACTGCGACTGTGCCACAGGAAAGTGACCTGGCAAGTCACGGGACTTGGCCCGGATCTCACCCAGGGCAGCAGGAATGGCTCCACCCAAGAAATTCCTGGGGACACTGGGAGATGAAAGTAAAGCTGTTTTCTGGTTACATGAGGAGCTGCACTGGCTCAGGGCTCCTACACGCCGGAGCTGGGGCTCCTGCCCAGGCAATCTGAAAGGTGAAAGTCCCTCTGATCCTCAGGGTGGGTTCCAAGGAGACCCCAGGCTTCATTCAGAAGTCCACCCCCGTCCTCTGCATTTCTAACTTAAACCCATCACCGGGGCATCTCCTTGGCTTTCTCTAGGGAGGGAATTGGAAGCACTCAGAGGGCACCTTGTGACAGGAGCCTCCTCTCTCACAGCTCATGCCCCGGCTATTCCTGTGCTGCCAGTCTAGACGGCCGTGCCTGCTGGTGGCCCTGGGGCGGGTTGTCCTTGGCTTCCGGCAAAGATGTTCACGAGCGATCAGAACACTAACCTTCACAACCCCAGGCCTTTCTCTGCATGTGCTCATCACTCTTCCTCCAACTCTGTATTGCCCTCAGCTCTGGCAGTCTTCATCCAAGTGCTACTCTAAATACCACCTCCTCCAGGAAGTCTCTGGCGGCATTTGTCACCATCCTTGGTGCCTGTGTGCCTCTGTTCACCTTGGCCACACATGGATTACTGCTCTCATGTGGCATCATAATGGTCCACTTACACACGTGTCACTCATCACCAGGCAGGGAGCAGCTTGGCACATAGTTCACCTACACTGAATGGTTTCTGTACCTTCAATGTCTGCCTGGTTCACCACCTGACACATGAGGGCTTAACAGAGGGCTTTTAGAAAAAAATTAATAAATGAATCAGTGACATCATCAGTCTTTCAGCTTTTGAATCAGAGACTAAAGGACCAATGTTTATTGCACACCCTGTTCACAGCAGCATGTGCTAGGCGCTGAGGGGTCACCCCAAGTGAGAGAAACGTGAGGTCTGAGGGCAGACAGAGGTGACACACAGGGAATGGTGGTGGCGGCAGGGGCACGAGGGGACTCCAAACAGTTTACAGGAAATGGAATTCAAGGAAACATCCATGCATCGTTTCCTCCTAAGGTGCATTTCCCAAGACCTTGTTGCAGACCCCCTTGTAACAGCGGTCTGCAGGATGGGGGGCTCGCCACGCGCCAGGCAGCTCATTTCAATCCTCACAACCATCCCGGAAGGAGTGTGCGGTTACTGTCCCTAATTTACAGATAAGCAAAGTGAGGCTTCAAGCCACCCAGCCAGCAAGTGGCATGCGGAGCCCCAGCCAGAGCAGGGAGCACGAGGGACACACTGCAGGTGCTGGGCGACGCGGGAGGGTGGAACAGCCAGGGCTCGCTCCAGGGAGAGGCGGGGCTTGAGCTGAGCCAGGAGCCCCTGGTGCAGCCTTCTCCTCCCTGCCACCCTGGGGAGCCCACTGCCCACCGCGCGCCTTGCAGAGGGCGCCCGCGTCATCAGCACTCCTGCCGGGCGCCTCCCCAGTTCCGGAGCCCGAGGGGGCAGGAGCCCACAGCAGCCGCTGATTAATTTCCACTGACAAGAGGTTGCGTCTTCGGCAAGCACGGTATTAAATAGCTCCTTTTGATCATAATTAAGTTTCTCTCCGGCTGATGCTAAAAATAGCCATGCCCTATTGATTGGAGGGTCTGGGCTGTGAGCTCAGCACCCTCCGGGAGCCCTTCCAGGCCTGGCCGGGGCTCTCGAGGCCCACTTTTTCTCTTCCTGATAGGCCATGTTCCTCATCTCAAGGTCAGGTGCAGCTGAGCACCAGGCTGGGGTTCAGCTCCTTCTCCCAACCCTCCCCCAGCCCCACAAGTCACTCCAAGGTTAGCTCCACAGAGACCAAGCACCGGCCTCTCCTCTCAGGCCCACTCAGGACCCGAGCTTTCCCTCTCTCCGCCAATGAGGACAAAATGCCTATTCTCCCAACTGTGCCTGGACAGCTCCCTGTTAGACTAATAGGGAAAACAGGCTGGGCAAATGATGGTCTTGTTCAGAAGTCTGGGGAAGAAGCCAGCCTGCAACTGGGGTCCCTTGCTCTTTCTCTTCCTTACCAGAAGTGTTACCGTCTTGCTTTGCTGTCCTCAATGCCGCGTCTACGAGAGAATGAGAGCAGGGGCCTGGGGCCTACAAGGCCCAGGACCACAATGGGAGGGGGCAATTCCCTTTCTTGGGGGAAACCCTCCAGTTCCTTAGAGCTCCCTAACACCACACACATGCACACAACCACACACAGACACACACCGTAGCCCAACCTGTGACATCTTGGTGGTTGGTTCTGTATCTCTCTGTCTACCCCAGGGACAAGAATGGCTGGGCACAAGGCAAAGTGGCAGAGAGAAGGGGTCTGCCCTAAAGTTGCCAGGCTTGGTAAGATCCCACCTCTGCCTCCGATCAGCAGTGTGGGCCTAGGCCAATAGCTTCCCTGCTGAAGGCCTCAATTTTCCCCCTATATAAGTGAGTCAAGTGAAAGTGCCTTTAAAGTTCATTCAGTACCATGTTCTACAAGGGTGTGATGCCAGGTTAAAAAAAAAAAAAAAGCCCATGCGTGCATGTGCCAGGAAGGGAGCATGGAGGAGCCTCACTCCACTTTGATTTTAAAGCAAGATGCTGCTGTGGCCTCGAAGGAGGGCATCTACAGCTGTGCCCTTGGCCAGCTCTGTCCCACCTCCAGTTGTTGTAAGCAGCAGGCTCATTCGTTGACCTGTTGTCCGTGGTTGATTCTGTGCCACAACGGCAGAGAATCTACGGCCCCTGACGCCTAAACCGTTCACTCTCTGGGTCTTTACAAAGCAAGTCTGCCAACGCCCAGGGGAGCACGTCAGTGGAGGGGGTAGGGAAGGACTCTCCCAGCTGAGGGCCAACTTGCGGAAGGGGGTGGAGCGGGATCCTGCAAAGGGCAGACTGCCTAGTGTCTGTCCTGCCAATCAGGGCATAACAGGGTCACTGGCAGGCCTCCAGAAGACATGGGTAAAACCTGTAGGCCCCTGGGCACTGTGCTGGGTGACCTGGCAGCCTACAGACAATCTGTCCCCAACCCACCTGACATACACATGCTGAGACAGAGGCATGTGCACGCGCACACGCACACGCACACACGCACACACACACAGCCAGGGTAGGGTGCAGCAAAGAGGTGTTTTCACCCTAAGTGTGAGAGACGGAAGGTCCTGATTTAACTTTTACATAAAGGGTGCCTGTCCTGACCAGGCTGGGCTCACTTCTGCAGGTCCCCCCATTCATCTACTCCAGAAAACAGCCCTGGTCCCCAACGCCAGGGTAGGAGAGAGCCTCAGTGCTCAGAAGCAGAGCCGTCCTCCGGGAAGAGCTGGAGAAGTTGGTCCCTGACAGACAGCAGAGTGGAGGCCCTGGGAGCTTCGCTTCGCTCCCTGACGTCTGAGCAGGGCAGAGGAGCTGCCCGGGAGCCGGGAGCCGGAAGCTGCGGGAGTGGGACGACAGAGACGCTAAGCAGAGTCTGAGCTGATGAAATCAAATGAAAACACTTCGCTGCAGCCTCCACTCCCCCAAGGCTCTCCAGGCTTGGGCGGGCTGCTCCGCTGCTCCCGTCTCTCCCCGCTCTGCAGCTGCTGGGTCCCCCCCATTGAACATCCGTCCTGGCAGAGAGCATCACTCGACAGCCCCGCCTCTCCACCAGGGGCCCCAGCGTCCTCCTGGAAGGTACGGGAGCAGGGGCGTTGGTTATCTTTTCCTCCCCAGGACGCCGGAGCTGGTTTGCAGGGCGGTGGCCGGGATAGGTGGTGGTGCTGAGGGGGAACAAAATCTCCCGATTAGTTGTCACACGGAGGCTGCCGGAGGCCATATGCCGTGTTCTCCAGCTCTGCCATTATGCATCTTGCTGGTAATTACTTTAGAATGACACTCATCATGTTCTATTTTATCACCCGGTGACAGATCCATACAGGAGAAGGGAGACACACACACATGCGCGCGCGCACACACACACACACACACACACTTCCAGAGCAAGCCAGGCTGCACGGCGGCCAGCAAGGGAACTGTTCTGAGATTCCAAGAGCTGGACTCTGTCCACGTGCTCAAACAGCCTGGGCGCCAGGCTGGGCTCATTGCTACTGCCTCTGCGTGTCGCAGCGACGCAGCAGGGGGCGGGAGCTCGGCCCCTGCTTCCCCAAGACCTTCGAAAGCTTGCCCGCTCCCTCTGCACTCCACAAAACCCTCAGCCACCTTTGCCGTGATTACTCAAGGAGCCTTAGCAACTTAGCAACACTGAGGACGGCTCACAGCCCTCAGTCACCCTCCAAACCAGGAAACAGGGTGGCCCCCTGGGGGTAGGGGACGCTAGCAGCCAGGGCTGGGGGCCCTCCCTCTCTTCCCCTCCCCTCCCCACGGCAAGGGCCAGACCCAGCGGGGTTCCCAAGATCACAGCCTCTGTAGCACCTGCCACCAACCCAGAAAGTGGCCAGGGAGGATCCTTGGAAAACTGGGGGACAGAGGCGGAATGGGAGTGGGGAGCTCAGGTTGAATACCCAGGCTGAGACGCAGAGGAGCTGGATGGAGGCATACCTGCCTCACTCTGGGGGGCCGGGGGCTGGGAGGATGTTTTCTCTCTAACCTGGTCTCCTGCTAAGATGGGAATGAGCTTCAGTCCTGCGGTGGGGGTAGGGGGAAGTAAAGCAGAGCTGGCTGTTTCCATAGTTCTGTTCCTAAGGAGGAGCCTGAGGGCAGCCCAGCGCTGGGGAGCAGCCAGGAGCCGCATCTGAACACCACTTTCCATACCACCAAAGCCCTGCTTTGGGCAGTCGTGCCGTCTGGCATCCCTGCCACAGCCGTGGGGAGAAGCCCAGCCAGGGGTGGCCTTGCCCGGGCTCCTGTCCAGGAGGAGGGAGGCACAGTTCAGGGGCAAAGCTCTCTCTGTTTGGCCCACTTTGCTCCTGCCTGGCCCAGCAGCCAGGATTCCGGCTGGCCACACAGGGGCCTGCCCACCTGCGCTCATCACATATGCGCTGGACATCCTCAGCTGTCCCTCAGAGAGCAAGCACCGGCGCCAGTGAGGCCACCGTGCCCCTGCAGCCTCCTCGCCCGCGCCAGACCTGCGTGGTGTGGCGTTTGCTGGCCTTTGTTGAATGTGTCCAATTTCCTGACCAACTCGTTCCTGATATACCCTGGGCAGCTCCATGAGAGGAAGGGTAGATGCTGGGTGGTGGGGGGGGGACTATCCTTCCTTTTTCTTGGTGTCTGAAAGCCAAGGTCGACTTCCGCTTAGTGCAGGGGTCACAGCTTGCTCCCATGGCGGCTGCCAGCATTTACCAAGCCCCTCCCTCTCTACCTCCTTCCTCACCTACAGTAGGAACACCCTCTCATGCCCTCCCGTATGCAAAGATGGGCATCTCGAGATGGGATGTGAAATGGGAGCCGGAGGGGGACTGTTCTGTATTCTAGGGGGGCCTGCAGGAGGCCCTGAGAAGAGAAGATGGGGGTCCCAGGCTGACACTGGTGCCGTCATCCCAGCTTCTGCATGTGGAAGACAACAGCCTCGCTAGATTCTTGTGTGCCTAGCTGAGCAATGCCCACAGAGCCCAGCCCTTGGGCGGCTCCAGTCCCACTTCTGCTCCCCCTGCAGCTTCTGCCCCGTGCTTCCCTGGCCCAAGTTGCTGGCACACCATCTGGTGATCCTGGGTGAGCCAAGAGTTATTTACCAGGGACGGCTCTGTCATCTGGCCATTGCCGCCCATGCACCAGGGCAGCAGAGCTCGGCCAAGGCCCAAGGATGGCTAATACTGGGTGCTCACACGCTCCAGGTCCTGGCCTAGGCACTTTATGACAACATCATCGTGCATGCCCACTGCCAAAGGAGAAACTGAGGGTCCCAGATGGACTTCCGCGTGGTTCCACTGCAGGGAAGTGGCAGAGCTGCCAAGGGAACACAGGTGTGTCTGCCCACAGAATCCCGGGCCCTGATTCACCCCCACTCCACAGCAGGGGCCCCTGGGAGGAGCCAGGCCTGGGGTACTCTGCACAGGCTCCGACCGCAATCACGGCAGTGAACGAGCCTGTGGCTTCGTCCCCTTTGTCCTGGGGCAAGTGGTAGAAACATAGGGATGGGAGGAAGGTAGTGTGCCAGAGAAGAAAACCCATTCTCTGCCGGTTCACTGCCTGCCCCAAGCCTGACCCAAACGGCCACTCCATTGCATTCCATCCCACACGCAAGACGTTGGTGGGAGCTGCTTGGACTTTTCCCCAGGCTGAGGGACACCCCCCTACCATTTCCCACTATGCAATTCAGTCCATGTGGTTCACGGTGAAGAGCCTGGGGGAGGTTGCAAAATCCACCCCCGATTATTTCCGTCCTTTTTGTATTCCCACGCAATGGGATGTGGCAGCTCCTTCCAGCAAAAGCCGGAGTCCCTTCCTCTCCGCTCTGAATCTGAGGCTGGCCGTGTGATTCCGGCAGTGATTGGGACATTAGCAAATATGACCTGAGCAGAGGCTCGGAGAGCACTTGCACATTAGGTTCTGACCACGCCTCCTGCTGTGCCCTCAAACCCGGCACCTGCCACTATTGACAGGGTCTGTGCTTGCCTGCTGGACGATGAGGGACGACCGCCAGGCCATCCACCTGTGCTGCCCCAGGGCAGGCCCATCCACAGATGTGCGAGTGAGGCCACCCCTGCTGGTCACAGCGTGCTGCAGGGCCCGCCGAGCCAGCCCCGACCGCCCAGGCCACGCCAGCCTGCAGAATCGTGGGAAATGACCAATGTTTATGCTTTGCATCTTTGGCTGTCGGAGTCATCTGTTACGCGGTAAAAGCTAACTGACTCGGAGCCCCACGGAGGAAGTGAAGAAGCTGTGGGAAACTGAGTCCGAAGGAGTGTAGTGAACAGAGGGGTCCATCTAGTGCTGTGGTGCAGGGGATTCTGCAGCCAGAGCTTGACCTTGAAGCCCTTTCCTGATGCTGAGTAGTGATGTGACCTTCGCCGAGTTCCTCACCCTCACTGTGCCTCAGTCTGCTCATCTGTAAAGTGGGGAGAATAACCCCATTTGAGAGCACTAGGGGGCTCTATGGGGGCTTTCCTACCACTGCTACTCAGATAAACAGCCTGGCCAAAGCCCCAAGTGTCAGAGTTCTCACGTGGAGGAGAGGGGGCTGACCAGCACATCTCCAGCTCCAGTGAGAGCCGACCTGAGGCAGGGAACTGAGGCCGCCGGGAGGGATGGCAGACAGACCTCAGGAAAAACTTCCTGCCAGGGAGCACTGCTTCCAGCCAGATGGCCTCTCCTGTCGCTGCACCCACACACACAGGGACTTCCTCCCTTTCCCGAGGTTTCCTGCTTAAGCAAGGCCTCAGCTTCTCTGCCTCCCTCGGCATTCAGAGGGAATCAGTTCTCCACAGAAAGGAAGAGGAGAGGCATCCTTTATCCCACTCCTTAATCCCAACCACTGGCCAGGGTCTCTGAATTGCCTCCTGGTTATAACTCTATTGCAACTCAGCAGAAGCAGTGAAACAGACACTTACATAGCTGCATGGTAGCCTGGCTCCCGGCTGGGGCAAGGCAGGGCAGGAAGAAGGGCCAAGCCTCCTCCTGGGCCCCAGTACCAGGCTCTGATCCTTCTGTCTTCCCTGGGTTGGCACGTGGTGCTGGACTAAAGCAGACTTCACAGAGGAGGGCCCAGATGGGACTGTGAGAGCAGCAGGTGAGTAGGGGTGGCTCCTGGGCAGCCCAAACCCAAGATGCCAAGGCAGAGCTCCCCAATCTGTGGCCAGAGCACAGGTGCACTAGAATGGGCTCCAGGCAGGCAGACAGATGCAGAGCCCCACGGTTCCCCAGGTGGTCTTGTAGGCAGAGCACCTGGTAGGTGACCATCTGCCTCAAGGCCAGCCCCAGGCCACAGAGCAAGGTCAAAGGTGCAGCCAGGGTACCACACTGTGGAGCTCAAAGGGAAAATATCAGTAAACTTGAAACAGGGGAGGGTGGCACAATACAGAGGGTGCCTCTTTGCAACACAAAGTTTGTGTTTTAAAAATTCTAGCTGCACTTGGAGGTAAACACAAGAAGGGCACAGACAGCGGAACAGGCTCTCTCCCTCTTCCAGAGTCAGAAAAAGGCGGGGATCTGATCCTCCCTGCCGAGGCAGAGGGTTCCTGCAGGCTGGGCTGCTGGGACGGCTGCGCCCTTCAGCTTCCTCCCCAGCCCCTAGACTGAAGCCTTTCACTCTCCAGGGAGCCCCACTGGAGGCGTCCTGCTCCAAACCACACCTGGGGAGCTGCTCCTCACGCTAGGGGGCTGGGACCACGGTCAGCACACCAGGAATGTTTGCTGAATGAATATTGGAAACGGGCAACAGCAGACTCAAGTGGGCGCCTGCAGCAGGAAATTTTGTTGCTCCCTGCCCCCACCCCAACAATGTGTGTGTACGCCTGTGTGCTGTGTATATGTGTGTGCATGCATATGTGTGGTGTGCACTATATACATGCATGCACATGTATGATGTGTGTGCATGCACATGTGTGGTGCCGTGCATGTACGTATGTGTCTGTGTGTGCATGTGTGTGGTGTACATTCATGTGTGTGTGCATGGTGTGGTGTGTGTATGCATGTGGGTATGTGTTCATGTGTGTGGTGTATATTGTGTATGGGTGTGCACATGTGTGGTGTGCATGCATGCATGCAGGTATGTGTGTATGTGTGTGCAAACAGGATTGATCCAAGAATTGCTAGATTGCTCTGGTTTGGGAAAGATTCCCCAGCAATCCTGCCTGGATTCTCCCACCAGGTCACTTTCTGGAAAAAGGAGCGGATGGGTGAGGGCCTATCTAAGGGGCAGAAGACACTGCCCTGGGTCAGGGTCACCTCTCAGCACACAAATCTCCCAAGAGCGAAGGGCCTGGTGGTAGCAAACAGAGAATAAGTACCTAGAAGTTCTTCAGTGTCAACAACGGCCCAGGTGACCTGAGGCTCCCCCTCCCCAGGCTGTCTCACACACTCACACTCGGACACACACACACACACACACACACGAGCACAGGGCCTGTTCTAAGTCCCTCCTGCACCTTATCCCCACAGCACTGTCCCTTCCTACCCACAATGTTCTGTGATTTGCATACTCCTCCAAGTCCTGCCTCTTCTGTGATTCCTCCAGGAGGGGCAGATCTGACCATTCCCCTGAGCCCGCCCTGTCTGGACAGGTAGCATCCCAGAGTTACGGACCCCATCCTGTCTGGACTCATCCCCACCTCACTGTTTGCCATGAAATACACAAACCTTGCACTTGACTCACTGCCCACTCCTGTCTGTCTCACAGTTTTGTCCTTCAGTGTGACTGACCCATACAGGTGCTTCTCACTCTGGAGAGAGCCTGCAAGACCACCAGGAGGCGGCGACAGGCCAGTGGGTAGCCCCAGAGCCAAACATTCTGTAAGGAGCTGGGGTGCGGACTGGAGGCCCTGACTGAGGAGCAGGGCTGCCTGTGCGGGCTGGGGCTGTGGACTCCAGCTTCCAGAGGCTGAGCCGGCGAGAGGGCCTCCCCAGGAGAAACTCTCTCGTCTGACCCTTCCCAGGCACCATCCCACGGCTCCTTTGGTCCTCATCCCCTCTGCCTCTTAGAAAGAAAGCCAGGGAGACTCTCAGCCTGAGAGAGCCTACACGTCTACCCTCTCCCCGGTCCTCTGTGATCATTTAATGGTTGGTTTCATTCACATAATTCAAGGTAATGCAAGCCAGGCTGCCCACATGGATGCTAATAGCAATCTACAGATCCCCCTGCACTCCTGTGGGGAACTCAGGTAATAAAATAATGGGGATGGAGAAGGGAAGGGCCATTTACAGACCAACAGGACAACAGGGGAGAAATGTAAATTGGTGATGGGTGGGGCTTGGAGGAAGCCAGCTCCTGATGGAAGCATCAGCATGGGTGAGGGCTCCATGCAGTCCCAGAGCCCACCCGTCCATCTCACACAGGTCCCCACTGTTCTCCTGGTGGTGGCTCCACCCCGCGATGGGCTTGGATCTGCCAGGGCTGTGCATGGGTTGCGCTAAGTCAGAGCCAGGACAGATACCCTGGAAATGTTCGTGACACTGAGTCCACCAGGGACTTCTCTGATTGTAACAATCCCTGCCTTCCAGAGCCACATCCTAGCAGTACCTGCCGGGTTCTCAAAGCCCTCGTCCTTGTGGAAGTGGACCTGGGTCCGATACAAAGGGGAGGGGTGTGATCGCCAAGCCTCTCCAGCAACAGAACAGACTGCATCAAGGCGGGTACGGCCCTCACCCCCAGAAAAGCTCAGGCAGACCCGTTGCCATCTGCTGGGGAGACAGCTGAAGGGGACCAGTCCCAAGGGGGACAGCAAACCAGAGTAAATTCAGACTCCACCAGGCTGACATCCATCCCTGCCCTCATCCTCAAAGACTCTTCTTGGTCCCTGGACCAGCATCTTTCTTATTTTCAACATTTATTTTATTTGAAGGGTAGAATTACAGAGAGAGAGAGAGAGAGAGCAACAGCGAGAGCGAGAGAGAGAGAGACTTCCATCTGCTGGTTCACTCCCCAAATGGTCACAATGGCTGGGGTTGGGCCAGGCCAAAACCAGGAGCCTGGAATTCTATCCAAGCCTCCCACGTGGGTGCAGGAGTCCAAGCACTTGGGCCATCTTCTGCTGCTTTCCTGGGTATGTTAGCAGGGAGCTGGATCAGAAGTAGAGCAGCCAGAATTTGAACTGGTGCCCTATGGGATGCCGGCGTAGCAGGTGGTAGCTTAACCCACTGAGCCACAGCACCAACTCTAGGGCTGATGATATCTTATGCTTCCCTCTCACCTGGCCCAGCCAGAGGGGCCCAGAGAGCCGAATTCGCAGTGCCCTGGCGTCTCTCAGCACAGGGCCCCAGCCCTGCGGGGCCGGAGGTTGCTGACCTGCTCTGGATTCCCGGGTCCCCATCAAGTACCCTGAAGACCTCCGGAGGTTCCTGCGAGCAGCACCTCCAGGGGCCTCTCCACGGACCCGCGTTTCCGACGGCCGCTTTGGCCAAGGACTCTTTTAACTTCTGTCTTTGGGGAGAAGAGGAAACGGGAATGGGAAGGTCCCCGGCGCCCTACCATCCGTGGCTGGTTCTCTAGGCTGCAGAGTATCCAGGCTACTAGGCTAATGACCTCCTTTCCCTGGAAGAGCCAGAGACACAAGGCTTGCGCGACTGGCTAGGAGGCAGGAGCTCACTCAGCCCAATCCCTGATCATTCAGCTAAGGCTACCGAGGACCAGAGAGAGGCAGTGGCCTGCCTGAGGCCACGCAGCCTGTGAAAGCGGGCCCCACACCCAGCTCTCCTGACCCCCAATCCAGGGGTCCTTCCTGGCCCTACTCCAGCAAAGCACTAGGTCAGCACACGTAAGCCAGCCCAGGCACAAAGCACCCAGCTCAGAGCGGGGACACAGCAGCCTGTGTGCCTCCGAGGAGAAGCTGACCTTACATGGAAATATTGAGAAAGTCGAGCATGGTGTGTGGGGGTGGGGGCAGAGGAGGGGGCACAACGCTCGCTTCAGCATCTCTCTCTAAGCCCTGCCCAGACCCTGAGCCTGCCAGCCAGGCTGCAGGAAAATGTTTTATTAATCAGCACAACGCCCTTTGCTGGCTTGAGACAGGCGTCTGTGGGCGTGGGGAGAGGGGAGGCAAGGGGCTTTGGCTCAGCAGTTCCTGGAGGCAGGAGAGCAACAGGCCGGCGGGGGTGGGGGGGCTGAGAAAAGAGCACGTGTTTGGGCTCACGTGTGGTACACTGCTCCCCTTCACCTCTCTGGGCACCGTGAGCCCAACAGCCACAGCACAGAGTGGCCACTAGAGGGGCAAAGGGGGAGAGAGGTCGGCACCTGGCGCCTAGGATGCCTTCCTCTGGGAGGGGGCGGGGCACGCCTTTGACACCTGGGGTCCACACTCCCCAGGAGGCCGCCTCCCCTGCCTACGCCATCTCCTGCAGCGGTCCCAGATCACTTCAAGGCCTGTCAGAACCCCACCCGGCGAGGGGGGCTCCCTTCCTCGATTCCAAAGCTGTGGCGACCAGCCCTGAAGCTCTGTGCTGGCTGTGGCACGGGGCAGGTGCCATGGGCACCCAGACTAGGATGCTAGCAACAAGGGCACCTGGGACCAGCTCTCCAGCGAAGGAGATAGCATGAGATTTCCAAAAGTTTTCGGAGACATCCGCGTTGGATATTCACAGAATATGCAGATGTACCATTTCCCCTCTTCCTTACATTTGGGGGGGGGGGGCGGAGAAGAGACCACAAACCCTGCTGGTTTTGTTTTAAAGAGTTACAGAGAGGAAGTGGGGGGGGGATCTTCCATCTGCTGGTTCACTCCTTCCCAGACTGCCACACCATTAGGGCTGGACCAGGCTGAAGTAAAGAGCCAGGAGCTAGGAGCTTCATCTGGGCCTCCCACGTGGGTGCAGGGGCCCAAACACTTGGACCATCTTCTGCTGCTTTTCCCAGGCCATTGGCAGGCAGCAGGATTAAAAGTGGAGCAGGCCGGCGCTGTGGCTCACTAGGCTAATCCTCCGCCTGTGGCGCCGACACCCCAGGTTCTAGTCCCGGTCGGGGCGCCGGATTCTGTCCCAGTTGCTCCTCTTCCAGTCCAGCTCTCTGCTGTGGCCCAGGAAGGCAGTGGAGGATGGCCCCGGTCCTTGGGCTCTGCACCCGCATGGGAGACCAGGAGAAAGCACCTGGCTCCTGGCTTCGGATCAGCGCAGTACGCTAGCCACAATGCGCCGGCCGTAGCAGCCACTTGTGGGGTGAACCAACGGCAAAGGAAGACCTTTCTCTCTGTCTCTCTCTGTCTCTCACTGTCTAACTCTGCCTGTCAAAAAAAAAAAAAAAAAAAAAAAAAAAAAAAAAGTGGAGCGGCCAAGACTCAAACCGGCGCCCTTGTGGGATGCCGGAGTGGCAGGTGGCAGCTTTACCCACTGCACCACAACGCTGGCCCCCTCCACTAGTTTTTAGCACCCTGAAAAGTCCCCATCTCCTGAGTGGGGCACTGGGTCTTCCTCTCCTCTGTGCAAGGCAGAAGCTGCAGAAGGAGCTTCCTTCGTCTCCCAGGGAGCACACTTCAGCCTCCCAAACTCTCCCAGGGAAATCTGGCGGCTTAGTGCGGGGACAAGAGCAGACCCTGCTCCAACCAGTGCCCCGCGGACTCCAGCACCTCCAGGCACCAGCAGCAGGCTCTGAGCAGGCCTCCGTTTCCTCGTCTACAGAGATCAGCAATGCCTCTCTTGCATGATTAGCAGCAGGATTAAGTGCATATCAGCAATTTATACTTAAGGGACCAGCGTGGCGGCACTGTGGGTTAAGTTGCCATCTGCAATGCCAGCATCCCATACAAGTGCCAGTTAGAGTTTCCCACTGCTCCACTCTGATTCAGCTCCCTGCTAGTGTACCTGGGAAGGCAGCAGAAGACGGCCCAATCGGGCCTCTGCACCCTTGTAGAAGCCCAGGTAGAGTCCCAGGCTCCTGGCTTCCACCTGACCCATCCCCAACTGTGTCGTGGTATTGCCATGGTTGCTGATAAGGACAGCGACAGGAGTCTCCTGTGTCAGGGTGAACCCACTTCTACTCACTCATCCTCAGCAGATACAGCAAACAGCCGCTTCCCCACCTTTTGGGGAGCTGCCCTGAAGAGACTCAAGTGCGTCACTTCCGGCCTGGAGACGGCCTCCCTCTGAGGCTAACCAACTGTGCCCACCATGCTTCTGCTCAGGGACAGCAGGAGGACCGGCTGTTCGCATCCTCAGGGGGCTGCGACCCTCAGCTCTCAGCACAGGTCAGGCTAATGGCCTTCATTCCCCTCCCCTCGCCAGTCTCGCCTCTTTTTTTTCACAGCTTTTAGATCAACTATTCATTTCATTGTGTGCGCTCATTTGTTTATTGTCTGCGACTCCCACTATAATGTCAGCTCCAGAGCATCTGTCTGTTCACTTAACAGACACACCCTCAGCCTCCAGCAGAACAACAGTTGTTGAGAAAATGATCAAATGAATGGAGGCATCTAATTTTCCCACCATCTTCTTTCAAGGGTCAGCTGAAATGCCACCTCCTCCAAGAAGCCTTCCCTGGTTCCTGCCAGCTCCACATTCTTCTCACACTTTCCAGTCTTTTATTCATCTCTTACTTTCCTGAGCCTAGGAACATAGCTCACGGTAAGTCTGTTGTTGCACTGGGGCTCCTTATAAAGCTACCGGACTCCAATGGAGGCAAAGGACCTCAGCATGAGTCTAGTAATTGCTACTATAATGTGGGAGCTTGGGCATGCTGTCTATCTTCTCATCTGCAGAACGTGAACCTCACGCCTGCCTCCAAGGATTCAGTCCCCATCTGCTCTCTCTTTTGGAGCCCCTCACCGCCAACTAGGTCTGTGTCTTGTTCACAGTGCCAGCTGCAGCTCCACGCATGTTTACTGAATCATTGAACCGTCGCCTGCCCTAGTTGCTCACCAGGGGCCCCAGAAGTCTCCTAGGGGTGATGGATCAGAGGGTGCTCCCAGTGATGCCAAGGGTGCACCCTTTTCTCCAAGGAGAGGAACAGCCTCTTGAGCCTCTGGAACTCTACTTAAGGATCCGGCCCCAAGAGGCCCACGGAGGCTGCACCACGCTCAGTCAGCCCCATTCCAGGCCAGGCGGGGTCGGCTCTTGGTCTGTGATCATTCAGACCCCATCTCCCACCCACGTGTCATTGCAAGTGGCCCTGTGTCTGTTTACATTTAGCAAAGCCAATAAACAAATTCTGCTTTCCTGAGCGGGTGCTGGTTAATTATCATTGTAGGAGACTACAAAAAAAAAAAAAAAAACACCCTCTTGTTTTCCTCAGAAAACCAATCTTCCCTTTTAGTTCCAGCAGAAACACAGCATGAAAGGGAACCGGCACAGGCCTTGGCTGGAAGCTTTGGCACGGCTGTTTGCAGGTGGCAGCAACGTTCCTAGCGGGGGCCACGGCCCAAGCACCAGCACATGGGGCAGGAAGTGTTCTGCAGGGCCCTCGCTCCTTGCCTTCCCTTCGTGTTTCCTTGGCTGCTCACATCTATTTGTCCTGCCTCGGCCGAGGGCTTTGGAAAGTGCCTCTGAGCCCTGTTCTTCCTGCTGGGCTCCAGGGCCGTCTTGCCATCTGGCTGCCGGCCACCTCAAGGACACCCAGGGTTAACTGTAAACACCATGGATCCAAAGCCAAGTGCATCGGCTGTCCTCCTGCCCACCTGTTCCTCCTCAAGTGTTTGCCAACTCCATACCTCTAATCACCCAGGCTGATCACTCCTGCATGCTTCTGACTCCGCCGCCTCTTGTTGCTCTCTCCACTCCACTCCTTCCTCTCCTTTTCCACTGCCACCATCCCAGGTCAGGCCTTCTTTACCTTTTACTTGGATCCATCTTCTGGCCAACTACCCTGTGTCCAAGGGCTCCCTTCTAACATTCATGCATTAGACAGATGCCAAATAAATCTGCCTAATCAATGCATCAGGCTCCCTCGTGCCTACCAAACAAATTCTTTAGCCTAATATTTTAGACCTTGTACATCTGTAGCAAATGTTTTATTCCTGCTCATCTAGAGCTATTTTTGTCTTCATAAACCCTAAACACTAGAAAACCAGCATATTAGTTAAGCTCCCTAAACACCATGCCCTTTTGCCATTTACTTGGACTTCCCATTTTCACATATTAAAATCCTACTTGCCGTTGCTGGTCTAGCCGAAATGTCACCTCGTCATGCATCCAGCAGCAAATATTTATTAAGCATTTAGGCTGTATCAGCACCTCCTGACCATTTCGGCGAATGCCCCGTTCTCTCTCATCCACTCTCATGACCATACTCTGCTCACTCACTATATTGCAAACTTCTTAGGGACCTGGCTAGTACCTTATTTGTTTCTATATCCTCCACATTGTCTAATAATGTTCCTTGCAAATGCTGGGTGTTCCGTGTTTGCTGAATTGAATCAAGATGTATGCTGGCCATGGTTTTTTTATCTTGTTCAGTTTAACTCTCCTATCTTTTTCTAAGTAAGCATGTCCAGAAAGAAGTAAAAATAAACCAATGATACTTCTCAGCAGCTATAAGCCTGTAATTATGCTTAACTCTCAGTTATCCACGGCACTGGAAAAATAGCACAGGAAACAGTCCCACATCAGAAGCAGAAAAACAGTACCTCCAGGAGCCTTTGACATGTGCCATTTTTAAGCATTTGCCTTTTTAATTGTTTGGCTGATCAGCTGGTGTCTGGGTTCACCACGTCTCAATAGCAGGCTGAGCATGGGGACGGAAGGGGAAGGGGTGACTTCACTGGCGGGAGGAACCCAATGCGGGATGAAGCTTCTGCACCATCACAACCTCACAGGCACGGGGTTGCGGGCGGGGGGGCGGGGTACGGCAGCCAGCCCTATGGTGTGGCCTTCCCGCTCCAGGGACTGCCAATGGTAGACTTCCAGACCCCCTACCCAACCCGCTCTGGTGGCCAGCACTTGATTCCCTTAAAGAGGACGACAAAGTGCTGCCGAAACCGCTGAGGTTCTGGAACGGAGGGAGGGAGGGAGGGCGGTCGGGCAGGCGGGCCCTGCCTCTAGTCCTGGCATTTGAGGCTGCCCTGCTGTGTCACCCAGAGCCACTGGATGCAAATCAAAGGAAATGAGATTTGCAACTTTGCACTGATAGCCAGATAATGTAGGGGGGAGGGGGAAGAAGCTCCCCTTTCCCACTTCGGAAGCAAACAAATATCACACATGGAGATTCGGCAGCTGCATTAGTTGGGGAAAATTGATGCACATTTCATGTGTCAGGGAGCTGAATCCCAGAGAATGGAGCCAGCCTCCCAGAAAATGGTTTCTTTATATAGTTCCATCCATTTATTGTTTGATTGGACTTTCTGTATATTAAATTCAAGCTGTTCTGCCGCTCACGGGTATTATGATGCGCTGGCTCGGTAGGAAATAATGAAGGTGATGGGGTTTTACAGCATCACATTACAAAGGAGGCGTCTCCAGCCTCATCCATCTCTCCATCAACTAGCCTGAGTGTGAGGTGGCACTTATATTAAAACGATTTTTCTGATTCTGTTTAATGACACTCATTCGAGTCCTGACACCCGGAATACGATTACACGAGCTAAATGCAATCTTCTTCCAGGCAGCCGTGGTCGGCAACGACTGAGCTGTCCTCTCTCCCCAGTCCCCCACCTTGCCAAACCCCCCTCATTCTCATGGGGCCCAGCAGAGGCAGGTGGAGGTAGGGAGAAAAGCAGGCTGGACACAACCTGGAGGCCGTGAGGGCTGAGGCTCTGCGCAGAGAACTTAGGATGCCTAAAAGCACAGTGGGAACTCCTTCGTCCTTGTCACGCCCAGGTTCCTGTTAGAAAGCTGGGTTGAAGTCAATCCTGTACACTGCTTCCGAAAGCGACTGGCGGAGACCCAGTCCCCACTTCCCAGAAAAGCAAAAGTGCCCTGGACATCGCCAGAGACAGGTGGGAGGAACACGTAGGGCATCAGCTTCCGGGAGGAGGTCAGCTGTGTGCAGGTCCGCCTGCCCCAGGACGGGCACAGGCGGAGAGAGAGGCTCTGCTCCTCTCCCTGGCCAGGAAGAGCTCCCAGCCAGGATGGAGCAGGGGCCAGAGCCCTGGGGCAGGTGAGGGAGACGGAGGGGCTGGGGCTCCTCCTCTCCTGCCTTCTGTTTACACCAAGGTGAGGCAGAACAATTGCTGCTCCTGGGGAAGAACTCTGTGTTTACTGGTGTGTTTCCAGAGGGAAACCCAAACAAAAGCCCACAAAAGGAGAGAGCTGGGGCTGGGTGGGGAGCACTGAGATTGACTTTGAGAGATTCCAGAAGAGAGTGGGGAAGCGGGTGCCGCTCTCAACATCTCCTTCCAGAAGTTGCAGCCGTTGGAACTCACTGCCGGATGGGAAGACACAGCCAACGTGAGGGTCCCGGTGTGAAGCCCCCAGAAGGCTCACGCTCCCACATCCACACACACACATACACACTGTGGGAGTTCCTCTTCCCCTCCCCCGCAGCCCAGAAGCCCTGTCCACCCCTGTGTCAGACGGTTAGCGTGGCGCCTGGGTCCCGCTCATGGCAGTGAGCACAAGCCCCACCCCTCGCCAGGTGCCCATCTCGGTGCCTGCGGTGAAAGGCAAGTTCCAGGCAGGTGCGGTGCTCCTCGTCTGCTCCCAGCTCCCAGCGCCAGGCCTTCTGTGAGGTGCCCGTGCTGCAGCTCAGGCTCTCTGGGCTCGCTCACTGCTCAGTGAGCTCTCGGCTGCCTGGAAGCCTCTCCCAGTGCCTGGTGGAGAAGGCCCTCCTGGCTGTGCCTTCAATGCCGTGCCCTGCTGCTGGCGGAGCCACGGAAGTTCTCAGCCTGCTGGGCGGGAGCAGGACCAGCCAGAGCTTCCTGGGAAAGCTCCTGACACCCCAACCCTCCAGTATGTGCAGAGTCTCACCCTTCTCCCACCTCCCCTGCCGCCACCCTCAGCTCCCGTGAGTAACACGGATACTACCCAGCAGCTAGGTGCTCCTTGGACAGCTCCGGAGCCCTAAAACCCTTCCTACGGCAGAGTCTGCATGAGTGGCTCCCTCCGTTACCTCTCTGGCCTCCCAGTTCTCCTCTGCCCCCGCTCACGGGGCTCAATCACTGGGACTCTTGCTGTTCCCAGAACAGTACCCCCAGGCCCTGCTGCCTGAAGGCCTCTGTGTGTTCTCTTCCTGGAACGCTGTTCCCCCAAGCTCACCAGTTTCCCTCAGGACTCTGCCCAAATTCCACCTGTTCTAAGAGGCCCTCCCCGTGCGCTTGGTGTCCCTTGGTCCGCTCGGCCCCCACACTCAGCACTCCCTATCTGTCACATTAGGCTTCACTGTTCTCTGTAGTCTGGCTTGATGCACCTGCTTGTTGATCTGTTCACTGTCTGGTCCCATCCACCAGGGCAAAAGCTCCACAAGATCAGAGAGTGCTTTCTTCAGCCCTGTAGTCCCAACGCCTACTGGGGACTCAGCAGCTATCTGCTGAATGAAGGGGAGCGTCATGGGGAGGGGAGCCGCATGGTCAAATAGCCAAAAGCAGTGACAAAGATCCTCCGCAAGAAAGCCCCCATGGGGCCAGCACAGTGGCACAGTGGGCTAAGCTTCCGCCTGCAGTGCCAGCTTCCCATATGGGCACTAGTTCGAGTCCCGGCTACTCCTCTTCCAATCCAGCTCTCTGCTGTGGCCTGGGAAAACAGCAGAAGATGGCCCAAGTGCTTGGGTCCCTGCACCCACGTTGGAGACCTGGAAGAAGCTCCTGGCTCCTGGCTTCGGATCAGCCCAGCTCTGGCCGTTGCAGCCATTTGGGGAATGAACCAGTGGATGGAAGACCTGTCTCTGACTCTTCCTCTCTCTCTCTCTGTAACTCTGCCTCTCAAATAAATAATCTTAAAAAAAAGAAGAGAGGAGAAGAGAAGAGGCCCCCAGCCTGCTACAGCTGAAGTCAGAACTGCCACACACCCTGCTTGGCCTCCTTACTCCTTCCCTGCCCACAAATGCCCTCCGACATGACAGTGTGGCTATAACTGAAGCTGGGGAAGCCAGGGTGCCAACCAAGCCGAGTGGCTGGATGAATGTTTACTGAGGCCCACCACAGCCCAGCCCTGGGCTAGGCATGAAACGTGCAATGATCTCTGGATTGGAGATCTGCCATCAGAGGGCTCACAACCTGCAGGAGAGAACCACAAGCAGCTCAGGCTAACAAGATGTGGCAATGGCAAGAAAGAGGAATGCAAGGGCTGTGATGGGAGGCAGGAGGGGGTACCCAGTTCCTGGATGAGATTATGTGGGGCAGGGGGTGTTCTCAGGAACAGTGGGAAGCGTGCTCCGGTTCAAAAGAGAAGAACTGAGCAGGTGCCTTATGTTGGGCTGATGTGTGATCACAGTGTCTGTGGACCCACAGAGCCTTCTGCACTGCCAGGCACACAGTAGGCACTCAGTAAATGTTGAACAAACAAAGGAACACAGGTCTGCATCCTCTCTCGGGAATTTTGGCATCAGAGAATTGTCAGTTAGGAAATGTCCACAAAGAAAAAACTTGGATGTCACTTGTTCCCAGTTAAGTATCCCACGATCAGAGTCCCGTGGGCAGGAGACCCACCATGCAGGAGGAACTGCTGGCCAATGTCTCAGGACAAGATACTTGGGTGTTGGGAGGGGAGCTGATGAGTCCTGGAGGCAGTGGATGAGGGCAGAGACTTTGGGAACTGAAGGGTTAACAAAAACCAGGCTGGGGCCCTGGGGGGAGCCCCAATGCCCCATTCTGTGGCTGCCTGTATTGATCTCGCAGGCCAGGCTCCAGGCCTCCTGGAACCTCAGGCAGGCCCTTCCAGGATTATATTTTAAAGGGAAATGCAAATCACCTGGAGGCTGCTTCGTGCTTGGAAGAAGGGAAAATAGATTCTGTTTTTGTTGAAAGTGATTTGGGGCACTGTCAAACTCTCTCATCTCAGAGCACGAGGTGACACTTGGGCTGCTGGTCTCAACTCTGTCACTGAGCCGACAGGGCAGCAGCTGGCACTGCCCTGTGACTTCCCCAAGCCCAGAGGACCAAGGGGCATCCACATCGCAGCTGGCGCTCCTTGGCCACGGGCTCCTAAGGCTCTCCTCACTCATGCTTCCCACGCCCCCACCGGAGCTTCCTCCCCAGCCCGACTTATGCAGTCGGGGCCCACTGTGATCCCAAGGAAAACCACACAGGAAAGTCTGCTTCGAGTCGTTTACATCATAGAACACATCTCCATACAGTTCCGTTGGTGTTACTTAATACTGGAAGTTTCTGTGTTAGCCCTTCCCTCTGTTAACTGAGATAATTGCGGATTTATTTTATTTATAGTATCAATTACAAGCACAGAAATTAATCCTGAATGGTGCAGTTGGGAACACAATTGTCAACGGGGCACCCGGGAAACCTGGGTGGGAAGCACGGGGCCCACCAGCGTCGGAGAACATGCGGGAAAGCCATCATCCAGCCCTGACAGCGGTCGGGCTGCTACCGCTCTTCCGTGCTTAAGGTATTTTGAGATATTAAATAAACGGTAATAATTGGCTCTGGGAGATCCCTCGCTGGAGGATACCTGAGTAACTCATCAGCAAGGTGCCGGGAAAGCAGAGATGGCAACCAGAGCCGGGAAGAGCAAATGCCTTCACGGGGCACATGGGCTCTCGGCCGGCCGGCCAGTCTTGCTCTACAATGAGCAGAGGGCAACCTCTCTGCGCACCAGAAGTGGGAATTCAGGGAAAGTGCAGGGCAGGGAGGGTCTGCGGAGAGGAAGAGGTGGGGGTCTGTGGGGAGCTGCTGGAGGCAGCTGGACCGTGTCTCAAATGCCAGTGTAACAGTAAGAAAGAAAGAAGGCTTTCTGCAACGGTAGAACAAGTCTCCAACCAGCCAGTGATGCGGTCAGAACAGAAACCAGCCAGGGGAGAGGGAAAGGTTTGCAGGGTCAGGCCAGCAAGACCTCCAGTAAAGGCTGGAAGATTCCCACAGTCCTGCAGGTTACGCCTGGTGATGGATCAGACAGCAAGTAGAAGCCACTCGCTTCTCTCCGAAGGGCCCAGGCAAGGGCAGAACACAAGGGCCAAGGGGGCTCCAGGGGCTGCAGGGGCTGCAGGCTCAAATCCTGGATCCAGCCCCGAGAGAGGGCAGGTCTAGAGGGGACCGAAAACAGCATCAGGCCGAGCAAATGGAGAAGGCGCCCCATTTACACTGACCCATCCATTAAAAAGCATTTTGCCAAGCACCTGCTATGTATAGCCAAGCAACGAGCCTGGTAATGGTGCCGACTGCCAACTCAGGTCAGAGTCAAAGCAGCCTGATCCGGCACGGAGCTGCAGCACTGGGGTGGAAGGGGAGAGAAAGGCTGCCTTCCTATTACTCCTCTGAACTCAGGGAAGTCACTGCTCAGGGTCCCTTTCTTGTCCATTTGGTCGTGCTCCCACAGGCCTTCTGATGCGCAGGGAAGGGGAAGCAAGCTCGTTTCTGGCCCAGGGTGGAGGCTAGGGGCTCATGGTCCAGGGGAGCATGGCCATCCCCAGCGCAGGCAGCCTGCGCTTCCTCGCCATGCTCAGCCTGTCCCCATCTCCAAGAAAGTAAGTTTGAGGTCAAGACCGACTGCCCCTTGGTGTCAGACTCGCTTCTTGAACGAATGCCAAAGGAAGACAGCAGCTTCGTCAGTGGCAGTAAAACACGGATTCTGGCTCTGAGCAACCACTCATTTCTAAGGCAGTATCTGCCATAAGGAAGTGTTTTGTTCATAACACGCTGTGTGCCTAGCACAGAGCACAGCAGGCTGTACTCCCTGGCCTGATGCTGTCTTGACTCGCAAAATGACCAGGACAGAACATCACACCCAGAGGCCATAATAAAAAAGTTACAGCCCTGAAGTCTGACTTCTGTCTAGGGTTCCTGAAGGCGTGGGATCAAGTTGGCTGGCTGAATGAAAGCAGTAAGGACACTGGAGGCAGCCAGACTGTTATCTGAAAACCAGCCGTGCCTCTTATCAGCTGTGTGATGACAGAAAATGTACTTACCCTCTCTGAGCCTTGCTTCTGCGTGTTTAAAGGGTACAGACTTTTTCTTACCTTGCAGGGCTGTTCTGTGAAGACTTAAAGATATAATATATGCAACGTGCTTAGCACACTGCTGACACATAGTAGACACCCATATGCTGTTATACTAATAATAAAAAGTAACGGGCAGCTGGCCAGCGAGGTTCCCATTGATCTCCTGAGATGATCCCAGTTTAACGCTGATAGCCATCAACGTGCCCTGTTTTTCTCCCCACAGCAGGCCAGAGGTGTCCCTCTGCTGTCGTGTGTCCCTTCCAGGGGCACCTGAAAGCACCGGGGAGTCAGAATCACATTCCTCCGACTCTGGGTGAGCAGCTACTGGAAGTGTTGCAGTGGGAGGGAGGGGCAGGACGCGTGTTGTCAGACAGCTGAGAGGCAAAGGGAGCAAGCGTGGCCTTCGGAAATGATGTGGACACCGCCGTCCCTCCCTCCCCCTCCTGTGTGGCAGAATGACAAATGCCATCATTTTAAAAGGTCCTGTCACCTGCTCAGTCACTCTCAATAAGCGCACACAGCACCATGGAAAAACCGACACCACCGCCACGGGGCTGCGGCCAGGGAAAAATCTAATCACCAGGATGCCACCAACTGAATTGTCAAAGACCAAATAAAAAGCTTCATGAATTCCCCATCCACCATATAACGCTTCCTGGTCTAAGCAAACACAGGCCCAGTTCGTGAATTGTAGAGGGTTTTACATCAGCCGTGATGGCGCCCAGCGGTGGAAGCAGCAACCCCGAGGAAGTCTACGTCTCCATCGAGCTGCTTTGATGGGCTCTGACCCTGTTAGGGTGAAGGCTGTCATCTCCCCTCCTGAGACTCCTGCCTCACCCGGGGGGCCAAGCATAGGGGTCTGGGACCTCCGCCGGAGAGGGGGCCTGGAAGCGAGGGACCCGGCAGAGGCCCCCGTCCCCGCTCTGAGCACCTGTCACCTGCTCCTGTGTCTGACTGCACTCAGACCTTCTCACAGTCACCCAGGTCGGCCGGGTCACTAAATCACCAACTCGGGCTGAGAGATGGAGCCTGCTCCCCCTGCGGTGAGAAAAAACCCAACCAGGCGCCTTGCTCTGCAGAAAGCCCAGTTGCAGAGTCACTTAGAGGAAGCCTGCTCAGAGCCACGGAACCCTGGAGCCTCTGCGGGCAAGGCAGAGGAGAAAAGTCAGGCCAAAGAGACAACAGCCTTCGGATGCAATACGGAGAAGAATCGCGAAGCAAGCATCCCCTGCCCGTGGACACCTGCACACTCCTCACAGCACTCTCCCTTCTCCCCACAGCCCTCTTCCTCCCCATGGTCACCGGATACACACTGCAGGTTATGATGCAGCCGCCTGCCCCGGTACTTCACAGCCCCAAGCAGAGCGCGGCTGGAAGAAGGAGCGGTCACAGTTGTCAAGTTCTACAACACACAAGGCCCTGCCCCAAAGAGAAACACTCGATTCAAAGCCTCAGGCCCCTGATCCATCCCTCCTGGGCTTTCTCCTTTTGCAGCAACCTACCTGGAATCCCTAACTCCCTCCCCATCCCGGGCTCACCTGCAACCTCCCAGGTGCACCGCGCAGGCGCTGACTTACCCCAGGGTGGTCATGGTGACGATGGTGTACCAAAAGGAGGCCGGGATGCTCGTGAACTTGCTGGCGGAGGAGCCCTTCTCGGCGTAAAACATCACAGTGGCGAAGATGATGATGGCCATGGTGAGGGAGAAGAGGAGGAAGCCGAGCTCCGAGGCGCAGCTCTTGAGCGTGTAGCCCAGGATGCGCAGGCCCTGCGAGTGGCGGGAGAACTTGAAGATGCGGAAGACGCGGAAGACGCGCAGCGTGACGAACGCCCCGGACACGTCCTCGTTGTTGGTCATGACCAGACCTATGTAATAGGGCATGATGGCCACCACGTCTATGATGCTCATGACGCTGCGGATGAAGCGGTAGCGGCTGGGCGCGGCGAAGAGCCGCAGCAGGTATTCCACGGTGAAGATCATGACGCAGGCCGTGTCCAGGCAGAAGAAGGCCACCGAGTAGCGCTCGCCGCACGGCAGCTCCTTGCTCCCGGGCACCGTGCCGCACGGCACCGTCTCCACCACGTTGGTGATGACCGAGACGGCGATGAAGAAGCCCGTGACGTAGTAGAAGACCAGGGCCAGGGTGCTGGTGTGGGGGTTCTCGAAGGCGCGCCACATGGTCTGGCGGAAGCTGAGCGACGGCATGGACTCCTGGTTGTTCTCCGAGTCGTTGTCGTCCATGAGGCGCTCGGCGTTCTCCCTCTTGCGGTCCTTGTACTCCTCGTAGCAGCAGTCGCCAATGATCTCGGGCAGGATGCCGTAGAAGGCCAGCTCGTCGTCGTAGGCCGAGATGCACTCGTAGCGCGGGTAGTGCAGCTTGCCGGTGCGGTAGAAGTTGAGCACGCAGCGGAAGACCTCGGGGTCGCGGTCGAAGAAGTACTCCTTGGTGTCCTCGTTGAAGAAGAACTCCTTCTCCGTGCTGCCCAGCAGCGTGTCCGGGTAGCGCTCCAGTGTGGTCCTCCACGTCTGGAAGCGGCGCCCGCTCACGTTCAGCACGATCAGCTCATCCTGTCGCTTGCTCTTGTCGGCCGGGGCCAGGGGCATGGGGCAGTTAGCCACCGGCATCCACCCGATGGCCGCCGCCCGGGCAAAGGGCAGCCAGGCCGCGACGCCGGCCGCCATGCTGACTCCCGCGCTCCGGCCGCCAGCAGCTGCGCGGACGCTCGGCACACCAGCTTGGAGTCAGTCCAGCGACCCCTGGGGGGCGGGAGGAGAGAGCAGAGAAAGGGGTCAGTTCTGCTGCCGCGGCCACCAAAACGGGACAGCACAGGCCAGGCTCGTGTGCCAAGTGCCCGAGGCCAGTGCAGCAGCAGCGCGCGCAACCACCACCACCACCGTGGAGAGGGCGCCGAGTTCATCCGCGTCCAGCTCCGCATGGGGAGGGCGCCTAGCAAGCGGCAAGGAGGCGGGGCCGCCAAATGTTGCCCACAGGCTGACAAATTGCCAAGTTCCGAGGGGCTCAGGAGCGTGCACAGCGAAAGCCGCTTTCGCAGGAAGACCTGGGAAGACGCGGGTAATCATCAGCTCTGAAAGGTTATGGAGTTATTATGGATTTAAATTGGGAGTGGGTAAATGAGTTCTCATTAAACGAATTTAAAAGTGGGGTAAACATGCTAATTTTTATTTCACTCTTCATCCACCAGGGTAATCAGTAATGGGGTGTGGATGAGGGAGATCAGGTAAGTGCGTTCCTTTCATTCTACCCTGATGAGGAGGGAGTGGCCCTTGTCTGGAACATTCCTTGAGACTGCAGGTGACCACAGGAGGCTTGGGGCATAGCGATGCTCTGTCCCCAACTCCCACAAAGAGTCCACCAGATGTCCAAGTGCACCTCTCCGAGCCATGGTGGGAAGACATGGGAAAGACTAAGGCTAGGAAGGGTCTCTTCCCATTGGTGAAGAGGGTCTCAGGGTCTGGATTCACTGCCGTCCACACGTTGTCTCTCCCTCCCCAAAAGGAACTGATCCACATTGCCATCCATAGAGTCCTCGCCCACCACCATTTGCCCACCAGCCATGGCCCCCTGTGGTTATGCAACACTACTCCTTGCCATGCCAGCCTCTCACCTAGTCCCCACTCCACCCTGGGGACATTCCTCCAGAGCCGGACCACCTTGTCCCTTCCCCCACAGCTCTCTGAACCACACTGTGTCTACATTTCGCCACGCCCTGCATGGATGCAAGGCACAATGGCACAGAGAATTATATTTGGCTTTGGGAAACAGAGTTAACGTTTTAAAGGTGGTAGTGAAATGACTCTACACTCCCCAAATGTGTGCCATCTGTGGGAAGGCATGCAGAGACACAGAAACACACGCAACAGCAATGGGAAATAGTCTGGGGCTGGCACGCTCCTCTCACTCATCCTAAAGGGATCACACAGAACAAATCCCAACTGGGAATTACTGGGATCCTCTGGAATCCAGTTGGCCTGAGTCTGGGTTTAAATAAATAAGACAGAGGTGAGTCTTGGCATTTCCTCCTCTGTTACACAAAAACTTGTAACAGGATTTGAGCTTCATCTCACCCTGTAACCCTGCTTCACGGTCCCCGACTCCCAGTTTTCAGGGTTTCCAGATCTCTGCCTCCTCTGGCTCCTGAGCTGCCACTGGACTTTTCCACCTTGATGCCTCTGAAGCCAGACAGGCTTACACAGAAGCTATCTCCTTGCAAAAAGCTGTTCTTCATTTTTGGCTCACAGCATCCCTAACCCCAGGCCCGTCACCTTGATCAGTCTTTTCACTGTTCCAGCCACAGAGCTTTCAAGTAAGGGAACGGTCACTCTTACTGCCTCCGTGAGGGCCCAGACTCCCTCAGGGCCCCTTCCCACTGGCCTGCTGGACCCCAACACTCACTTGCCACCTAGTTTTTCCTTATCCCCTGAAACCTTCCCCAGAGCAAGGTTCAGGTTGTGTTTTGCCCCACCGCCTACAAAACAAAGTCCGTACTCCTTTGGTCCACAAATGGATCCTGGCCTAACATGCCAGCCCAGGATCCCATGCATGCATCCCGGCCTCCAATGCAGGGCCAAGGACTGGCTCAATGACAGCCCGTGGGGTGTATGCCTCTGGACCATTCCTCCTCCTGCTAGGACTATGCTCCCCTTTAACCCTTCCTGGCGGGGTCTCCTTTCGAGGCATGCCTCTTCCTCTCCTCACTGTGAGACCGTCTCCTCCCTGTGGGCAGCCTCTCTGCTCTAGCCCCTGCCACCCTCTGTCCAGGATTACAAATGCTCCATCCACAGTGTATCAGCAACAATGGCTAACAACTGCAGAACACTTACTCTGCCAGGCATGCCGCCGTCCACCACAGATATCTCATTTAATCCTCACAGCAGCCCTAGAAAGAAGAGTGCATTGTGTGCCCCATTTCGTGGATAAGGAAAAGTAAGGTGACATGTAGCCATCTGAATACTCCAAAGCAGCAGAGCAAGGCTTCTGCCTCAGGCAGCTTCCTGAGGACTGACTGTATGTCAGGCCCGGTGCTGCAGGCTCCGTGGAGCATCCCAGCGGACCCGACATGCAGTCCTGTGGCTACACACCACTGGCGGTCTGGCTTTGCAGCATGAGGCATTGTAATGATGGTGTTGTAAGAGATGCAAACCCAGGCAGTCTCACTGAGGATTCAAGAATGCAACCAGCCACTCCCTGGCTTGTCCCCATCCTAGACTAAGCTCTTTAAGAGCAAAGGCCATGGGGCCGGTGTTGTGGCGTAGCGGGATAAGCCACATATGGGTGCTATTCAAGTCCCCGCTGCTCCACTTCTGATCCAGCTCCCTGCTAACGCGCCTGGGAAAGCAGCGGAGGACGACCCAAGTGCTTGGGCTTCTGCACCCATGTTGGAGCCTGGAAATTGATCCTGGCTTCTGGCTTTGGCCTAAGCCACCCTTGGCTGTTGCAGCCACTTAGGGAGTGAAGCAGCAGATGGAAGTTATATACGTCTCTCTCTTTCTGTAACTCTGCCTTTCAAATAAATAAAATAAATCGTTAAAAATGACCAAAAAAAGAGCAAAGGCCATGAGGCCTCAACTTCTGTCTCATGACCTCCAAGGTAGCACAAGGTATTTCATCAGGGGGTGCTCTGACCGGGAACCCCAGCTTAATGGTACTATTTGAATCCCATGAACTTTAATCCGTGCTATGGTCATGTATTTCGGGGGCTGTCAAGGGTGAACCTTCTCACTCCGAAAAGACAGTAACCTCTGAAGACGAGTCTGAATCAGAAGACTCCCATCCGAGTGTCTGCTCTGACTCTGTATCCTCAGGTGTTCCCGGGGAGTTGATCTCTGCCTGAGTATCCTCCATTTGCGGCAGGAAATGCTCTACAGGTCCCTCTGATCTGATGAGGGAAGGTTGATTTAGATGCCACAGAGACAGCAGAAATGACAGTGACATTTCCCGTAAGTGTCGCCACTCAGAGAATAGAAAAACACAGACCTGATCAACTTCTTGATTCCGGGAACCAAGGGGACTGGGGAAAGAATGGAGTCCATGGTGCGTGTAACATGTCTTGCATGTTATCTTTAAGAAATTTACCCAGCCGGTGCAGTGGCTTACTTGGCTAATCTTCCGCCTGCGGTGCCCGCACCCCAGGTTCTAGTCCCGATCGGGGCGCCGGGTACTAGTCCCGGTTGCTCCTCTTCCAGTCCAGCTCTCTGCTGTGGCCTGGGAGGGCAGTGGATGATGGCCCAAGTGCTTGGGCCCTGCACCTGCATGGGAGACCGGGAGGAAGTACCCAGCACCTGGCTTCAGATCAGTGCAGCACCGGCTGTAGCAGCCATTAGGGGAGTGAACCAACAGAAGGAAGACCTTTCTGTCTGTCTCTCTCTCTCACTGTCTAACTCTGCCTGGCGGAAAAATAAATTTACCCTTATAGCTAATTATGCCTCTTTAGGACCAGGAGATGTTATAGTGCCTCAGCACACACTCAGCTTGAATTTTCACGGGGCAAGGGAAATCGGGAAAGCAAGCTCCCAATTTGAACATCTGTCACCAATGATTGCAATTCGGGTGTAGTTAATGTTTAGTAAGCACTGACAATACTCTGGGCACTGTCCTAGGTACCTTTTACGCACATTTAATGTACTTCCGTAAGAACCCTATGATGCAGGCATTCCTGCACACAGGTTACAGGTAAGGAGAGGGAGACTCGGAGAGCTTCCTTCCAAGTGGCTACCTCCATTGGGATTCAGCAGCTGATGATTTTCAAAGAGACCACCGATTGGCTCCCTGCCAAATGGCTCTTCTGATCTATGTATAGCCAAGTACTGATGTTCCGGACAAAACAGAGCAGGCTGCAGAGACTCCCCTTCCCGCCTTCCCCAGGCAGCCAGGAGCAAGGGCTCAGGAGGCCTTGCATTCCAGTTTCCAATCGATCCTGAACTTGTGAAAGCAAATCATTGTCACCCTCTGGGCCTTGGGCCATCAACTGTAAAATGAGGGAACTGGACAAGAAAGTGGCAAGGAATCTTCTGGTTCAAATGATCCCTGATTCTGCTGGATCCAAGACATCAAGGCTATAGCTCCGGTCTCATGGAGCCCTTGTCATGACAGTTGCCTATGCAAGGTGGGCAGTATCTGGGCTGGTTGTTGTGCGGATATAGTCAGCCTGCACCTCTTCTCAGCAAAGGGAATTCTGGGCATTGCGGAACTGGGAATGTTACCTGCACCACTTGGAACCCAGGGCAATCCAAGGCCTTGTCCAAACCACAGAACCCTACCCTTCTGGGGAGTTGAGGGGGCCAGGCTCCCAGATGCTGGGCCCTGGACCTCTGCCTTTACAACCCTGCGGTGTCCGGGAATGGGGCCCAGAGTCACACATCTTGAAGGTGTCAAGTGGCAAAGAGCAAAAGACTGCTGACTCAACAGGCACCCTGTGCCCCAACCGGAGGATGCCCTTCCCAGGCCATTCTCGGGGGCTGCTCCACCCTGAGTCCCGTCTCAATGCCATGACCTACCCCTGCCAAGCTGGGCCCCAGCCTCTCCTCTCCACCAATCTCCTTCTCTCCAAGGGCCCTGAGTGTTTAACACACGACTGACATAGGGATACTTGAGAACACAAGGAGAAGGCAAAAGAAATCTCTTCTTTATCGTCAAGTTCTCTGGTCTCAAGGCCAAAGCTTTGCCTCATGCATTAATCCAGCACAATCTCTTTTTTTAATTTTTTTATTTTTTGACAGGCAGAGTGGACAGTGAGAGAGAGAGAGAGAGAGAGAGAGAGAGAGAAAGGTCTTCCTTTACCGTTGGTTCACCCTCCAATGGCCGCTGCGGCTGGCGCGCTGCAGCTGGCGCACCGCGCTGATCCGAGGCCTGGAGC